GCTATGACATCGTCCAGGTTAGGCATGACAAGTGTGCTGCCAAAATATTGGATTCTAACTAGAAACATCGACGAATTTAGAGGTCAGACATAGGAAATATGAATAGCACGAATTTTATTAATTATTTTGTTTGACAACTGCAAGAGATCTGAGAATTGGTATGAAGTTAGGTGCAAAGGTACAAAGGATTTACCTGGATATTGATAATTTCCTAAACTCAGTCATTTATTTGGTAACTGTCATAGACACCGAGGCTATGACATCGTCCAGGTTAGGCATGACAAGTGTGCTGCCAAAATATTGGATTCTAACTAGAAACATCGACGAACTTAGAGGTCAGACATAGGAGGTATGAATAGCACGAATTTTATTAATTATTTTGTTTGACAACTGCAGGAGATCTGAGAACTGGGATGAAGTTAGGTGCAAAGGTACAAAGGATTTACCAGGATATTGATAATTTCTTAAACTCAGTCATTTATTTGGTAACTGGCATAGTCACCGAGGCTATGACATCGTCCAGGTTAGGCATGACAAGTGTGCTGCCAAAATATTGGATTCTAACTAGAAACATCGACGAACTTAGAGGTCAGACATAGGAGGTATGAATAGCACGAATTTTATTAATTATTTTGTTTTACAACTGCAAGAGATCTGAGAACTGGGATGAAGTTAGGTGCAAAGGTAGAAAGGATTTACCTGGATATTGATAATTTCCTAAACTCAGTCATTTATTTGGTAACTGTCATAGACACCGAGGCTATGACATCGTCCAGGTTAGTCATGACAAGCATGCTGCTAAAGTATTGGATTCTAACTAGAGACATCGACGAATTTAGAGGTCAGGAGACGCACGTGGCACGCAGCAAACATGGAGTCGGAGGAGATACAATGTTTCCCGATGTACGACTGCAGAGGGCTGGAAAGTATGCGCGGACGTTGGATAATTGAGGATGGAAGTGGGTAGTAAATCATGGAATAGCCCGTGTCAAACGGTCCCTCGATATATCATTGTAGGAACGAGTGCTTATGGAAATGTCGTAGGTGTGAGAAAATTCCTGGCGCATCCAGTGTGATTGAGATGTTTGAAAAACGAGGATTCCAAGATTGACTGCGTATAAAAGTCATTTTCACGCTGGTTATACGGTTATTTATAGATATCCTAGTTGATCCCACAAAATTTACATCCAGGATGGATTCTAAGCTCCCTCTGAGTCATACCTCTGAAGCATGCAGCGTATATATTATGACACGTGGAAAACTATTAACCTTTTAAACACTGTCCCATTCTCTTTCTAGAATTCTTCTATTCTGTGTCTTGTTTGTCTTCAGATGTTTATATTTTTATAATCAAATAGAGATTTCAATGAGTATCTTTGACTTTCTATAATTAGTAGATTATTGTACTAAATGCAATGTCTGATCTTTGAAGGATTCCTTGAAAGGAAGCCCATCTCCACTTTCATCCAGTCTGTATCAAGCTGCCTTTCGTTTGAACTTAGTTTCATACTTAAAGTCATAACTCAACTTTAGACATTTAAATATTTTTCTTCTCATTCAGAAGCTTCGTGGAGTATCCTCGTTCTCTCAAATTAGGCTTTATTAAATTAGGTTATTAGACTATAGCAAAAATTATTAGACTTTATGAAGTTGTCAGTTAATTCAGACCCTTCTGCCAAGTCTTCTCTCTGCCTTATCTTGAGAAGATCCTGGAGTATTATATATACCAATGATTCGTCAAAATGATTAGACTATAGCAAAAATATACGAAGTTGTTAACTAACCTAGAACTCTGATCTTCTTCCTAGATCCATTCTCTCAAACTTCTACTTCAGCTGCTCTATTATCCTTCTCTCTGTTTAATCTTAAAAAGATCCTGGAGTGTTCCCAATCTCTCAAAATGATTTGACTATAGCAAAAATATACGAAGGTGTTAGCTAACCTAGAATTCTGATCTTCTTCCAAGATCCATTCTCTCAAACTTCTGCTCCAGCACTTCTAACGTCTTCCTCTCTGCCTGATCTTGATAAGATCGTAGAATATCCCAATCTCTCAATTAGACTATAGCAAAAATATATGAAATTATCAGTTAACCCAGAACTCTGTTCTTCTTCTAAGATTCATTTTCTCAAACTTCTACTCCACCACCTCTTACGTCCTTTCATCGGCCTAATCTTGAGAAGACCCTTAGAGAAGCTTGAAGGGATGATCTCTTGATCCAATCTCCATCATTGGAAGCTACACGCACACCTCCATCCGATTTCCCGTATCGATCACACTAGCAGAGATCGCATTCTCCTCGGGCCTGCCAGATGTTCCTTGCTTGGTCCGCCAAAAAATCCCTCTTCCCCTTTGTGACAGACGTCCTCGGATCGTGCCAATTATGGTGACCAGATGTCAGCCCAGTCGATTTAGCGGATCGAGAGGTTCACGGCCACGTTCACCTTGGTCGATCCCGCGAGACTAATGCGCTTAGACCCTTCCTTCCTATACACACCGATCGCCGATGATCACGATCCCGTCGATCCTGTTCCCGGGTAATAATTACCGGCTGGCTGTCAGTGCCAGGTCAATGGGAAAGCATTGGAACGGCCACGAGAATCGACAGCTTCCGCGGGTCGTTAAACCTGAAACGCTTCTCGCTGCTGTGCGCCACCAGTCTAGGTTGTACTCCGCTCTTTTCGTCGTGATCGATGCATTAGCAATTAGAACGCGGCAATGGGTCTCTTCTGCAGCTACTACTCCTCTTTCGACTTGGAAATCGCGGAAGGTCGACCTGGTTAGGAATTCAACGTGAGACGCTAGCAGGTTTCTAATTGCTCCAATGATAGTTTTGAGAGCTCGGTGAGCATGAAGAGATGGACTATGTCGATCTCTTGGATCCCTTTACCAGCGATTTTTACGAGGATCGAGGATTTAGCGAGGATCGATGATCAGGATGCTTCCAAACCTCTTTCTGGACAGCTACATCTGAAGATGTTGACTATTTAATTCCGAGACATGTCAGGTGTTCTTTACACTCTTTGAGGTGTAATTGTCAAAATGGACTTGCGTATGTCAAATTATTCACAGCGAGGTTAGGATATCGGATAATTAATATTTCCGAAGTTAGATAATTAACCCAGGATGGTCCTCGTGGGAGACTAAAACCAGAAATACTCATTCAGACTATGAAAATAGTGCCCTGACATTAGATCTACTGAGCTCTATAATGTATACCCTTAAACAATGCATATTTAAAATAATAATAATAATAATAATGAAGATCGTGCGATGAAATGAATAGACACATATAACTACATACTTCGATTATTTGAAATCCGCCATTTTGACGGATTCCGTAATCCTAGTATAAAGCCCAGAGTACTCAAGTACTGGAGTATCGAAAACACTCTAAATATTCAAATTCCCGCATATCATATTCAACAAAAGCCTTAGAGATTTCGCACGAACATGCACGTCTGTCCCACAAGTCCCCGTGACCAATCCCGGGCTAACGTATTACCCATGAAGCCCCACGAGTTCCCTTCAATTTCACCCCGGCTGGCGCCACGCGAAGTCAGCAGACTCGGGGACTATTAGAACGAAGCGAAAGCTCGTTTCCATCGAACGACACGGTTCTCGAAACATCGGGAAGAATCTAGGGAAACGACTATAGGGGGCTCTTTTTCCCCCGCAGGTTCGGAAGCGTCTCGAGCGTGGAGGATCGGTCGTAAGGTCAGAGGTGAGCCTTCGAGCGTGCCTCGAAAATAGAACGTGGTCACGTGGTTACCGGTTCAGGCCGTTTCTATTTCAATTATCGCGCGACCGAGCAATTTGCTGGCGTTTAATCGCCGCCGAATCACTGGCTCGCTTCGTCCCGATTGTAATTCACCGTGGCCACGCGTGGGGGTCTCGGCGAAGTGAAACGGCGCGCATGCGCGTGCGCCTGCGCACGCGCATGCGCGACCATCCGAGATCTAGATCGGAACTTTCCAGCCGCGCTCGTTCAGGAATGTTGATTAACGTGTTAATTAAGCGGCGCCGTCGAGGGAAAAAATTCCAACTGGTAGGAACGAGAAGAAAATTATTTTTCATCGTCGTTTTGCCGCTTTTCGCCCGGATGCTGGATAAAATATCATCGTTTTTTCCCCCGATAGACGGAGAAACAATTTGCCGGGTCGAGAGTGAAATCGGAGATTTCTTTTCGATCGGATCGTAGCGGGAAAACTGGAAGTTATACGAGCCTGGTTTCGTCCGCGACTTACGTAAGCCGCGAAGGCGAGAAAAGTCTGCGCAATTATCCACCATTTTTTCCGAACTTTCTAAAGTTTCTAGACGCGGCTCTGGCCGACGAGCAGAACGAAATTTCGATTAACATACGGAACTAGGAAAGTCGACTAGCTTTTTAGCAGGACATTCGTCTTCCTTTTTGTCCATTCTTCTTCGAATGTTTTTGACATTGGCTTGGGCCAGAAGACCCGATGTCCACTCGATAGTTGTATAAAATATAGTATACTCGTGTGTATGCGCACAATTAATATATCTGTGTCATATTCTGAACCAATTAAAATATGTAAATTATAATACACGTGTGTTGGTGCATTAAAATAGCAGTAAAATTGATTTTTATCTTGATAAAGTTGCATTAACATATTTTATTATACATAAGTAATCAAAGAATATAAAATATGGTTATACATGGGAGTACATATACATGTTTCAATATACAACTACATTACGAATCGTATATTTCTATTTGGATATTAAAAATTAATATATATACTCAGATAACGAGAATTATATTAATGATTTTAATATTCATATATTATATTATTCCAGTTGAACGTGTTATGAGATTTTTGAAATTGGGATGTTGCGAAATGAAATTTGAAAATACAGATTTCTTTATTTTTAATTTATTTGGTTTATATTTTTGAAAAAGCTCGGAATAATTTTATTTGAAACTGGAATGGATTATAAGTTTGCCTCAACTGGACCATTGTTCTCTATTGTTTCAGGAAAATGGCTGTCTCTACTCTCACATACGATGGGGCGAGGCTTTCGTGGTCGTTTACAGCGTGACGTGCAAACGAAGTTTTCAGGAAGCCCGCGGATTGCTGAAGCAACTGGCTGATTTACGCCTGCCATCCTACTTCACTGCTCTGTTGCTCGGCAACAAGAGAGATCTGGATCATGCTCGGTGAGTGTTAGATCATGCTATCTGCGTGGAGATCAGCAACCGAGTAACCTACAGGATAGTAAATTGCGTTTTTTAAATTCCATGGAAAATATCCTGCAAAGAAGTAGAAATTTCTCCTACTTCCAGAATTCTGATCAAACCTGTTCAAACTAAGTCTACGACACGGAACAAAACATGAAATGAAATTACACTCATTTTTCTATTTCTACTTTCAACACTCCAATCGAATATACTGAAACCAAAATTATACCATAACTCTTCTTGCCACTTTCAACATCCTAATCAAACCTCTTCAAACCAAATCTACAACACAGAATGAAAAACAGAAAGAAACTACCCTCGGTTTTCTATTTCTACTTTTAGTATTCCAATCGAGCATATTCAGGCCAAAATAAAACCATAGTCCTTTGTTCTACTTCCAACATCCTAATCAAACATCTTCAAATCAAATCTACAAGATAGAACTAGAAACAAAGTAAAAGCATACTCGCATTTTTCTATTTCTAGTACTTTCAACATCCTCGTCAAACCTCTTCAAACGAAATCCACAACATAGAACCAAAAACAAAGTAAAGTTACTCATATTTTATTATTTTTGCTGTTCCCAGCATCCAAATCAAACCTCTTCACACCAAACTCATTATACAAAACTAAAATGGAATCATAATCCATTTTCCTACTTCCAATATCTTAATCAAACCTCCTCAAACTAAATCCACAACATAGAACCAAAAACAAAGTAAAATTACGCTTATTTTACTATTTTTGCTATTTCCAACATCCAAGTCAAACCTCTTCAAACCAAACACACTACACAAAACCGAAATAAAACCATAGTCCTACTTCTATAGTCCCATTTCCTACTTCCAATATCTTAATCAAACCTCCTCAAACTAAATCCACAACATAGAACCAAAAACAAAGTAAAATTACGCTTATTTTATTATTTTTGCTATTTCCAACATCCCAGTCAAACCTCTTCAAACCAAACACACTACACAAAACCGAAATAAAACCATAGTCCTACTTCTATAGTCCCATTTCCTACTTCCAATATCTTAATCAAACTTCTTCAAACCAAACCCACTAGACAGGATCAGAAACAAAGAGCAAAGTAAAACTATCTACGTTTTTCTATTTCTTCTATTTCCAATGCCACAATCAAACCTCTTCAAACCAAACACACTACACAAAACCGAAATAAAACCATAGTCCTACTTCTATAGTCCCATTTCCTACTTCCAATATCTTAATCAAACCTCCTCAAACTAAATCCACAACATAGAACCAAAAACAAAGTAAAATTACGCTTATTTTACTATTTTTGCTATTTCCAACATCCAAGTCAAACCTCTTCAAACCAAACACACTACACAAAACCGAAATAAAACCATAGTCCTACTTCTATAGTCCCATTTCCTACTTCCAATATCTTAATCAAACTTCTTCAAACCAAACCCACTAGACAGGATCAGAAACAAAGAGCAAAGTAAAACTATCTACATTTTTCTATTTCTTCTATTTCCAATGCCACAATCAGACCTCTTCAAACCGAACCCACCATACAAAAGGAAACTTAAATTAACCATAACGGGCCCATTCGATCATCTCGATGCACCCGGACCACGCCTAAACGAAGATCGAAGACACGACCGTTCGCGTTTTCCACGCGACTGACATTATCGATACGAAGGAAAATCGTGTAACGACAGGACGGAACTCGCGATCGGAATCGGCTAATCGGATCGACTCGATCCATCCGGCCCGCGTCGATCGGCTCGTTACGAAACCGTTAAACATAACAAACACGGTGCAGCGGTCTGACCCGTTTCTCGCACGGCCCCCCCTCCCCCCTCCCCCCATTCTTCGACACACTTTTCCCCGGTTTGATTGTCATCTAATTGCCGGGCCTTGTCCACGGGGCCCGAAAGAATCGCGATATCATTGGCTGCCGGCCGGGACGGTCCCGAATACTCGCTGACTTCACGATCACGCCCTCGGGCGATTTCACGCCGTCGTGTATACGCTAACGCTCTCAGAAGTGTCTCGACACTTTCGTCGGTTGTACAGGGTGTCCTGAAAGTATGAATCACAATGTTGGTTGTGTATTAAAAATATAGCGTGAAACAAAATTAGCAGTATAAATATGATCAGGAAGATGAGGTAGGAGAAAATAGAGAGTGACAAAATTCCAGTTTCCAGCAAAATGATCATGGTAATGATTGTTTGTGATAAAAATTGGTGACACCAGTTATTAGGTGCACATGCGTTGGACTGATTTGTGAACGAATTATTTTTTTAGAAATGCAGTTTTGTCTGTGTAGGGCCTTCCTAATCCTATTTGTACCCCTAATTTTGAGTCACACTGTATATGTGTGATTCGTGTAATTCTTTTAATTTAATACCTATGTATTTGTGTATTAAAAGATGCGCAAATATATACATGGGTATATATGTATACTGATTTATTTGCATTGATTATTATTGGTTTAGCTGAGGCTCAGTTAGGTATGATCTATCGTTAGTTGCCACTGGTTTAATTAAGCTTCCACTAGGTATGATTCTTCATCAGGTGTCATTGTCTTAACCGAGGTTCAATTAGGTATGATCTTTTATTAATTGCATTAGTTTAACTGAGGTTCAGATAGGTATGATCTTTCATCAGTTATCAATAGTCTAGTTAATACTCTATTAGATCTGATTTTATACTGGTTGTTATTAGTTTAGCTAAGGTTCAGCTAGGTAAGATCTTTCATCAGGTGTCATTGAGTTAGCTAAAATCCAATTAGGTATAATCTTCCACCACTTTTCACTGGTCTAGCCAAAGTCCTCTTAGGTCTGATCCTTCATTAACTTAGACTCTGTAGCCTGACTTTGTACTATTTTATTAGTTTAGCTAAGATTCAGCTAGGTACAATCTTTCATCAGGTATCAATTAATTTAGCTAAAATCCAATTAGGTATAATCTCCCACCACTTTTCACTGATATAGCCAAAGTTCTCTTAGGTCTGATCCTTCATTAACTTAGACTCTGTAGCCTTATTTTATACTATTTGTTATTAGTTTAGCTAAGATTCAGCTAGGTACAATCTTTCATCAGGTATCAATTAATTTAGCTAAAATCCAATTAGGTATAATCTCCCACCACTTTTCACTGATATAGCCAAAGTTCTCTTAGGTCTGATCCTTCATTAACTTAGACTCTGTAGCCTTATTTTATACTATTTGTTATTAGTTTAGCTAAGGATCATCTAGGTATAATCCTTCATCAGTTATTAGTAGTCTAGCTAATACTCTATTAAGACTGATTTTATACTGATTATTATCAGGTTAGCTAAGGTTCAGCTAGGTACAATCTTTCATCAGGTGTCAATTGGTTTAGCTAAGATCCAATTAGATATAATTTCCACCACTTTTCACAGCCTTAGCCAAAGTCGTCTTACATCTGTCCCTTAATTAACTTAGACTCTATATCCCAAGTTAATAAATCTCAGGAATACTTACGTGCAACACTTACTTACTGTAATATAAATCCTCACCAAGCTGCTAAAAACATTCTCGGATCCCCAAAATAAAAAGAAGCAGAACACATTTGCTCTTCGCTTATTCGATTGCTTCTCTAATCCGAATAGCTGCAAGATTAGATCACATCGCCGAGAATATAGCACGATCTATTTCTCTACTATCGATCATTCCAGTATCGGCTATCTCTTTCTAGCTTAACTACCTCCTCCGCGATTAACCGTCAGCAAAAACGTGGTCTCTAAATTAGATACTCCAAAATCGCCATTCGACTCGATTTCGGTGCTCTGATTGAACTTTTTTGGCAATTTGGAAAGGGTTAAGAGTCTTCACCGTGCAATATCGTACAAGGATACCGAGCAAGTGGCACATATATCCCGTAGCGAAAGTTCCAGGCTGATTTATCCTTTGGGTCCTATTGATCGCGGACACTTAAATGTTACACGAAATACCTAACGGTATTGATGATAGTAATACATCCTACCAATCGAATGCTCGACAGAGCCCCAGTTCTCGATGTAGGCGAAAAGCTGTGGCAACATTTTTACTCTTCGACGGTGGACCAGTGATAAATTCGACCGATCCAGACGATTTCGATGAAAGGAAAAAGAAAAGGAAAGAAACGCTGGATTCGAATTTTTCTTATTGCTCCTGCTATGTGTGGACACTTGAACTCACGTGGAATGTCTAACGGCATGCATAGTAGCCTAGTGTATACACACACGGAGTGCATAGTAGGCCTAGTTTGTGATCCGAGTGACAAATCGCTGTCATAAGTCTTGAAGAATTTGAAAACGGCCAGGTGTCGTGTAAAATCATTGTTGATATCGATTAGACATTTCTGGTATAATATCGTAATGTACGGAGTGATTTGTTTGATCATGCATTGGGTGTCCAAAAATACACGTAGGAAGTAAGTTTGAAAGGAAAGAGGTTTTTAATTCAAAATTCTGAATATTTTTTAATAATGAAGACGCGTTGCTTTTTCGTATAGCGCGCCATTTTTAATAACCCTGAACTGTCAGCTGTCACGCTGTCTTTTTTCTTCGTTGGCAATACTTCACCGCACAGATGACGCAAATTTCAAATCTTGCGTGAATTTTGGGACATCCTGTACGAATATTTATGACACTAGATCGTGTTCCAAATATTTTATTTCTGCAATTATTATAAATATGAGGTTATTAAGATAGACAGGCATATATATATATATATTTCCATCGCATCATTTTAATCATTATTTTCTGTATATCAATGTTGTAGTATTATTTAAATCATTCGTCTGGTAAAATTTTCAACCGTAAAACAGGAAATAGAAATTTATTTTCAATTAAATATTCATATTAACATCCGAGAAGCTTAATTGCATATAATTCTGCGAAGACGTAAGATTTACTTTTATTCCCTTTTGCAGTCCAATTAGTAGATAAACCATAATTCCTTAAAACTGTGTAACACACGATATGTTCATTACAACC